AGTGTATTGTTTTGCAAAATATTTAACTACTTGGAATCTGTATTCAGCGCAGTAATTGAGTGAAATAGATCGTACACGTGTTTGTGGAACGTGTTAGAATATGCGAAGCGTAATACTAAGGCGATTGTTGTACAATAAACGAATGATTTCTGTTATCAAATCCCTTTATACAAACTAGTAAAGTCTCACCTTTTGTTCTTCGAAAGGGACAGAGATCATCATCATCATCATCATCATCAACAGCCTATAATGGTCACTGCTAACCATAGGCCTCTTCTCACATGGAGAAAGTTTGAGCATTATTCACCACGCTTGCTTAAAACGGATTAGCGATTTCGAACCAACAAAACTATGTAACTAGACAATTGTATTGTAAACCCGATTGAAAAAGAGTAACCTATGGAGTTTCTTGCTCGTTCTTCTCCATAGGAATCAACACCTTGGAATGAACAACTAGCTTCACTTCTAAATTTTTTTGTTGTTGACGTTCAAGAGTGCCTTCCTGGTCTAATTGAAATAAATGATTTTGACTTTGAGTTTAACTTTGAAAAAACTTACAATTACAAATTGTAAGGTTTCCTCGTGATGTTTTCTTCACCGTTTGTCAATGGTGTCTAGATAACCTTAGAAAGTACTTGTAATTTGGAAAAAGTCACATTGGTTCTTGCCGTTGGTAGGTTTCGAACCTGTGGGTGAGTGTGTTCGGAGCAGACTCCATTTTCGAGGATATTTCTAGACGTTTTCTTGTTAAAATCCCTTTTTGGTCTCCACGGCTTGGGAATTTCACTTATTTCACCCAAAATTTTAGATGTTCTTATTGACTATCCCTCTGTGGCTTTATAGTTACACAAATTTTAAGAAACTTCCATTTTTGAGTTATAAACTGAGTCCCATAGTAATAATGGCGACTGAATACATTCTCAGACTTCAAGCTATTTCTGAGCTGTGATTAATCTTAAAATACTTTGTCCGTTCCGGGAATAGAACTCGAGTGCTTAGCAGTCGTAGAGACTTTGTAGCAAATTAGCTGTCAAGAAAGCAACAGAGATCGGGCAGCAGTGCTCTCTGATGAACCTGAACGTCATTACACTTTATACATTACGGTGTTGTAAGTACATGCACACATAATACACCACTGACATTTTGGTGCTTCAATCACTTTTTAGTGACAATTACGTCCGGGACAGTTTTCAACGTCTTTGACTGGAGATAGACTTTTGACTCATGTTGAATGGAACTTTGTGGTTATGCCCAATTTTATTTTCAACCATGATCGTCCCACTGCATGGCAAAGGCCTCCCTACCCTCCTTCCTCTCCTCTCTATGGAAAGCTTTTTGCGGCCAATCCTTGTCATAGATGTCTAATTCGTCCCGCCATCTCCTTTTGGATGCCCAAATTACTTTATTTTAATTGTCATTTTTCTGATACTTTCTCATCATAGTTATGGACTGAATAGAAGTCTCGTTGTCATTAATATCCTATGTAGATATGTATCTTATCTTATCTAAAGCCTGCCCTAAAGTGAAATTTTGATCTCAATGTTCTCGGGTATAGATTTTCAAATTTCTCAAAATTGACTTTCATTACGTACACTGCAGGTCAAAAAGAGCCAAGTGGTCTGTGTCTTCTCTATAATCTAGTTTAAACTATTTTAGAAAAGTAATATTTACTAATCTTACTACTACGCATCATAATTTAAATCGCTAATAACATTGAATGTCCTTGGTCGAATCGAATGGGTCATTGTACGAATGTAAAATGTATACTTACCTGTAATCCGTATAAGTTCTTGTTTTAGCTACGAAAGTACCATGAAAAAGACGTTTACATCGGTAAAATTGTGTTATGAATTAAGTTTTACCCGCAGATTCGCTCGCATTCCAGAACTTAACGGGTTACCGGAGCATCGGCTCGACGTGCAGGAGAAGGAACGGGGTAGTTTTTAGTCAGTAAGAGTCTGCCAGGCGGGAGCAGTCATTCGATGACGTTCCAACCTTAAAAACAAATCCTGTGGGACTAAGCCTATTGCGTTATCCCGGAACATAATCTACCCGTTCCAAATTTGGTCCCGGTCTATTCAGGCATTTTGACGGGATTGAGGAACAGACGAATACGAGTATAATGAATGGAGTTTCTTTCTCGTTCTTCTCCATTCGAATCTACATTTTGGAATGAGCACCTAGCTTCACTGACGAACTGACTGACAGACTAATATTTATTTTGGACTAGCGACCCGCCCCGGCTTCGCACGGCTGCAATATGCATGTATTATAAATATAAACCTTCCTTAAGAATCACTATATCTATTAAAAGATACCGCATCAAAATCCGTTGCGTAGTTTTAAAGATCTAAGCATACATAGGGACAGACAGATGGCGGATAGCGACTTTGTTTTATACTATGTAGTGATAGTGATTTGTTGACGTTTCAAAAGTACCAAATTATGGTCTGATTGAAATAAATGCTTTGACTTTAAGTTTGAAACATACACGCAGTCTCGCATTTGGGTATAATATTAGTAAGGTAGGTTACTAGTATTTTGCCTACTTCCAGAGATGCAGCATTTAAAAATAGATTTTAAACAATCTTTTCGCATTTAATAGCATAATCCTTGAGGAAGGTCACAGTCCAATAAATTTGAACTGCGCGACTGCTACTAATATTATAAACGCGAAAGTTTGCGACGATGGATTGATGTTTTTCTCAGAATTACACGAAAATAATTGATTGGATTTGCGCTTAATTTCGCACAGAGATAAATATAGTATTTGCCAGCTAGGTAGTCAAATTCAATACTTTTTTTTGAACTGTCAAAAACGACAGTGTTCTATGAATTTTGTACGAGATTGTGAATTGTGACGTCACGTTTCTTTAGCGTTAAACAGTGTACTTATTAAAAAAAATACTAATATGAAGTTGGTCATAAAATCAATTAAAGAAAGTGTGATTATTTTTGTCGTAACAAGTCGATATAATTTATTTTTGATTAAAGAAAGTACCCAATTATAATCTGGATTAGGAGCTAGACTAAAATTTTTCCCAATATTACTGATATTTTCAACCAGTTTATAAGCGAAACCGCGTGGTGTAACTAGTTAATAATAAACAAGCGAAAATTCCGGGGAAAATGAAGAAATGTCGTATGAATCAGTTGGTCAATGTTCGCTGCGATGTTGAGCCGTCGAATGCTTCGCAGTTTGCTACCGAGCGCGGCCGTAAGCGCGCGCGAAACCCGAACTCAGTAAACAAAGAAAATTACGTTTCGTGCAATTACTAAGGCGGGAAAATTTGACGTTATTTTTTTTTCTTTTTATCAATCTGGTCTATGGTTTTTAGTGCGTTATGTTGGTAGTATTGCAGTATATTTTTTTTGGTGGTGATATTAATTATTATAGTTGTGTTTTTTTTTTTCGTTTTCGTTTTGTGCCGAATTTGGTTTTCGCGTTTTGTTGTTGTGTTGTTCAAGTGTTTGGAGTTATTTTTAAGAATGGCGTAGTTACGGTTTGATACGAAAACAACGTTGCGTACTTTGTTTTGGACTTGTTTAGATATCGATTGCTGTTTTTGTTTACCTCTCTCAGAGTTTTCTCATGAACAGAACACGATTTTCATTTAGACTTTTTATATATTCAAAATAGCAATGTCTTTGTTCATTATTTTAACTAAATCAAATGATATACCCTCATTGTTCCTAAAAACAAGAAAATGTGACATTAAAATTAATATCTTTTCATACGCTTTCTAGACGCATATTCTGCATTTCAAAGTGAAAAAAAAAACAAATAGAGGTCATTTAACTCGAAAACCATTACATATACAGTTTTTACTTGTTTTCGTAATTTGAATTATTTTTACAATTAAACCGCAAACGATTATGTGACTTATGTTCGAAAGAATAAAGTGTGTAATCGTTTGTTTTGTAATAGGGCGTAAGGTTAATTTGATTCAATAGACAATTTTAATATGTTTTTATTGTACTTTTCACGGCGTTCGTGACTGATATTACGATTTTATAATTTTAAGGGGATAAGTAGAAATGTTAAAATGCTAAAAATTAATTGCTAGTTATCTTTTTCGGAGTTAAAAAATTTGCTAATTTATAATGCAGTTCTATAGTACCAAGTAATCTTAGTACTAGTTATTCGTGCTAAGTAACTAAGAGGATAAGCAGCTTTAACAGTTTATTATGTCTTTCTAAGTCCAGTGTATGGTAAAAAAATTGCCCCTATCACATTACCTAAATGAGTATTCTAAGATCGCACCCCTGCTCACACCCTGTAAGGTTAAAAGGTGTGACGAAAATATATTCTATGACCTCCAGTTAGTATTACCATATTTTTGAAAATATTTACAATCACAGTAAAAGATCAAAAATAGACTTTATTTCAATGTAAAATAGTGACGAAATTGCAACTGTAGGTAAATCATATTTCTGTAGCCTTTGACTGTCCTTACTTTTGCAGTTAAAGCAGTTAGTACCTATCTAACAACGTCATATCATGAAAGCAGACGTTCCAAATTTGAAATTTAAATTCTGAATGGAACTTTAGAATTCGTAAGCGGATTTTTAAATTTTGACAGTTAAGTTAGTGTCAAATGTCGAAATGTAAATGAGGTTGAATAACTTTTTTTGGTAATTCGAGTTAAATAATAGTGTCCATTAATTAATATCTTTCAGGGTCAAATCAATCTTAATATGTTATCACACTATCCATTATTTTCTATAGTTGAATCAACGAACCAGAAAATCGTTATTACGTCCCTTCTACGCCATATTATTCTAATCAATCAATAAAACTTACCAACAAACAACTAAGTACGCAATAAGTAATACCAACATAACAAACTGAAAACAATAGAATGAGGTTTTACTAAGCATTTGATATTGAATTGAATCTATTTATAGTTATTTGTAACATGTTTATTACCTATCGTTGTCAGAGCATAATGGTAATAATTATGTTAAATATCTAAAACATTTTTCTTTATTCTCTCTAGTGAATGAAAGTATATTTTACACAAAGACTGACTTCGATCTGTAATCTCGATTACAGATAATAAATAACTGAAAGTGCAGTGGTCTGGCGTAACGCCAGCGTGGACTAAACACGATTTTAACAAATCCAGTGACAATGTGCTCCTCAAACATGTATACCAACATAACGAACTGTGTGCGAAAGTGACACCTGTCAAAATGTCGGAGAAAAGAAGAAAGAAGACGATAAATTTTATTAAAACCATAAGGACTATATAGCGATAGATTTTTATTTTAATAGACTTTTTTTTAAAACCAATACTGATCTCATAAAGTGCTCAATTTAAACAAAACAATGATTTCATTGAAGAAATTGTACGGGGACGAGCTGCTGCGGCTTGCTCTGGTCTTAAGCCTACTAAAGGTGGACCCCAACGATTATTTAGAGAGGGAGACCCAGCAGATGTTAGCTGGTCTCCATATTTCAAACGGATCCGATTGGTCTCTAGAACAGGAGGCCAGGACCCTAATAAGACCAAGATACGTCCATCCAAAATCCTTAGACAACATTCTAATTAACTACGAGAGACAATTATTCGAAGAACTGAACTCCTTAGGACGATATGGTAATCCAGAAACGGAATATAATGAACGGATTTGGAGTAACAGGGCGCCGATACTTCATACATATTTAGTTAATAATGTAGCGACCGACGCAGTCGCGCCACCGCTCGCCTCGGCGACGGTTACCGAAAATGCTGAGGATTCAGTTTCGGCGGACGATAACGTAGCTCAAGAAGTTAAAGTAGAAGAAGAGGAAGGAGAAGAAGAAGAAGAAGAAAGGAACAATGAAGAAAGACCAGACGCAGTTGTTACTCTATCCGCAGATTTCCTCCACAATAGAACGGAAGAAGACATTTTCGCTGAAATAGCCTCAAGGTCTTTTGACGTCAACGAGCTACTAGTACAACCATCCGAGATGCAGATCAAGAAAGAAGATGAGGACTACGAAGTCCACGTAAAGAAGGAAGCAGAGGATGACTTGTATAGCGACAACGCTATAGATTTCATGCCCTTCTTTAGCACAAAGACTGAGATGGAATTCGGGGAAGCGAATTCTGTTTTGCAACAAAATATGGCTGATCTGCAAGAGTTTAGTGACGTTGATGAGGTTAAAGAACTGAAGCATGATCTAGAGTATTTAGACGTGAAACAGCAGCAGGAGAATTTGGAACAGTATTTATTGGAGAACACTCCTTTAGATGCTGAAGTATATGAACTAGCCCCGATGTTTGAAGAAGAATTAGTCCTGAATGTAAAGAGAGAAAGAGCCAGCACAAGTTTCACGGCTAGTTCTAGTGGTGTTAGTGATATGGATGCTTCCACTGATGGTTTGGATGTCAAAATGGAGCCAGATGAAGGTCATCACACTGGTGACGAGCTGACACAGGAGGTGAGTTAAGTTAATGTAGTTTTTATCACGTTAGTGTTAAGGCTGATTTTCAGTGGTTTTTCTTGTTTTATTGTTGCTATTGTTGGTCTTATTGTTTGAGGAATAGAGCTGATAGTTACAATTTTAGTTTAATTTTAGGCAGATCAGTTGTAGGGAAAACATAACCTTAAAATGTTTGCAATATAACTAATAAGGTTTGGGATTTCAAAAATATATCCTAGCATCGTATAAACAGAGTTTAAAATTACTATTTATAACTATGTTTATTGAATAATTTGTTAATACTAATAGTTAATCGATTTAACAGCAAAATAACAAGTTAATATCTACGCAATTGTATTTTCATAACTATTAATGCATTTGTTTACGTAGAACATAATTTAGTATTTGCCCGACAGACAATGTACGTCAAATGACGTCACAAGTTCAGAGTACAACTATAATCAACGAGGTTACCGATTTTAAAATTTAAAATACTAATTCTACATGCAACAAAGTTACACGTTCAGTCGACAGTGGCGCTAGTATCTACGTAAAAGCGTTTTGTTTTGACAGTTTCTTTAGGATTTATGTTTAGTTCCAATTTTGGCCACTGGCTTTATTATGTTGGTACCTTGTAGTTGCGTTTACAGACGTATTGTCGATGCTTCTTTTATTATTTTTTTTATTTAAAAGCGAATTATTTTTCTTAATTTTTTTTACTGTCAAACTTGCGGTTATTAATGGAGGGAAGATGCAAATTTTTCTTTTATATGAATTACTAGCTACTTGCGCGCAGTTTCACCCGCTCTGCTCGGCTCCTATTGGTCGTAGCGAGATGTTTTATAGCCTATAGATATATATTTTTTTATATTCCTCGATAAATGTACTATCCAACACAAAAATAATTATTAAATTCGAATCAGTAGTTTCGGAGATTACCGCGTTCAATCAAACAAACAAAAAACAAACTCTTCAGCTTTATAATATTAGTATAAATTGTCAAACGTTTCAAGTATTCAGTGAATTGCTATATGGAGTTTGTACGTCAATTATGTATGTGGAACTGACTGCCTCTGTGTCTGACCGCCTCGTTGGCTGAGCTCAATGCGGCTGATGTTCTAGGGTGATTTCAAACTTATATATTCTTAATATTAGTCGTTGTCAGTGGCGTCTACATAATCTTAGTGTATGAGAAGCGGGCGTCTTAAACCTCCGGGCCACCACGGCCTACGTACTACCACTACGTACCACTACTACGTACGTACGCGAGTACGACTATAGTGTCATAAAATTGTAGTGTTTCAAAATCCTAATTGAAAAATATAATAGACGCATTACTCGCCCATAGAATTTTCGAAAGTTCCCCTCAGTTTCCCTAGGATCCCATCATCAGATCCTGACCTCATGGAAATGGGACCATCTCGGGATTATATCCTTTTAAACAAAACAAGAATTTTGGAAATCGGTTCACAAATGGCGGAGTACTGCGCGAACAAACAAAAAAAATAAAAAAAAGAAAACAATCAGCCGAACATAGTACCCCCTCCTTTTTTTGAAGTCGGTAAAAATAGGTTTTGGCGGAATTTTGAAATTAAATTAAATTGAGTAAAGACTGGAGCGAAAGTTAAAACATACAATTTTAAATAATACCTTTACTGTATAGTCTTTAATTTTAATTTGTAATTAACAATTAGCATATAGCACAAGTTTGTATTAACGTATAGGTATATTATTGAACCAATTTTAAAATGAATAAAGTTATATCTGACAGCTGTCGCCTGCGACTACGTCTGCGGAGAATATGAATAGAAAATTGGTTGCTTTCAATTTTCCAAAATAAAAGTAGCCTATGTTAAGTTACACCCTAGTACATCAGCTACGCGAAGGACACACCGGGCGTCGGGGATCGCGAGACGATCTCCGGCCACCGTAAGCGCGGGCCTGCGGACGGCGAGCATGGGTGGCTCCCCGTCCGACCAGAAACAGACCCAAACGTACGGCGGGTCGCGTTCCGCGCGCGCCTCAAAGAGCCATATCAGACCACCACAGATGGGGCCCAATAGGGCCGATGCCGATTCGGAGTCGCGGAGAAGCTAACGGGTAACCGTGGCTCCGGCTCGACGTGCAGGAGAAGGAACGGGGTGGTTTTTAGTCAGTAAGAGTCTGACACTCCCTTCCGCCTCACCCAGGCGGGAGCAGTCATTCGATGATCTTCCCCCCCTTAAAAAAAGAAAAAGTACATCAGCTACCTGTCAAAAATAGTCTTGCAAATTCTGTCTAGCCATTGCGTCACACGACGAAACACGACGCAAGTATTATGTTGCTTGCTCACATCATTAACTCTTCTCTGCATCACCCAAAGGTCAGACTGGGAGAAAATGCCTGCGGCATTAAGTCCACCTTATGTACATTTTGTGCATGAAGCTTAAATAAATAAATTGGTTCAACTGGGGCTACGGACAATCTTGTTGATTAACGAGGCTCCGGTTCTATGCAGGAGTACCAACGGGGTGGTCTTTAGTCAGTAAGAGTCTGACACTCTCTCTCCCTCACTCAAGGCCGGGACGACTCATTTTATGGTTTTTCCCTTCAAAAAAACAAACATTATGTGTCGTAGTGTTTCTAAATGAACAATGCGTGGGAATCGAAGCCTGTAATTTACGTAACACTGCGGTTTTGCGATAAAAATGATAATTTTCGTTTATCTCTGCTTATCTGGGAGCGGTAACTAGCGCGCATGTTATTTGTGATTACTCAAAATGTACGCACAATACACATACATAAATATAATGGGGATTTTTTCTAGAAAACATAGCTAGTTAATTAGAAATCGCCCTAGACCTCATAAGCGCCCATTAGGTATGCCTCACAGAAGACCGACGTGAAACAACCCTCGCGTTGTGTTTCGTCGTGTGAGTGAGGTTACCGGAGGCCCAATTATATTATCTGCCCCTAATAATGCCACTCTATGAGCAGTTAAGCTGCAACACTCCTTGTGCGTACTGCTAAGGAGTGGAATTGTTTGCCACAGTCTGTATTTCGTGAAGGGTCTTCAATGCTCGAGTGAATAGGCTGCTTATAGGACGACGTGCTCCATCGTAGATCGCGTCATAGCTTACCACCAGCCGAGATAGCGGTTAAACGTCGGCCCATCAATACATAGTATAAAACAAAGTCGCTTTCGCTGTATGTCCGTATATATGCTTAGATCTTTAAAACTACGCAACGGATTTTGATGCGGTTTTTTTTAATAGATAGAGTGATTCTTAAGGAAGGTTTGTATGTATATACATATTGCACCCGTGCGAAGCCGGGGCGGGTCGCTAGTCAAATATAAAAAGAAATAATTTTTAAAAGTTGCCCTTAGTTTCCCAGGGATTCCATCATCAGATCCTGACTTCATGACAATGGGACCAAATGACAAACATACCCTTTCAGAAAAAAAATAATTTTTGAAATCTGTCCAGGCGTCTTCGAGTAATCGAGTAAAAACATAAAAAAAATACAGCCGAATTGAGAACCTCCTCCTTTTTTTGAAGTCGGTTGAAAAAAGAGTCTCGCAGCCCCCTCTGTCTTAGGTATTTTTTTTTTTAAGGGGGTAAAATCATCGAATGACTGCTCCCGCCTGGGTGAGGCGGGAGGGAGTGTCAGACTCTTACTGACTAAAAACCACCCCGTTCCTTCTCCTGCACGTCGAGCCGGAGCCCCGGTTACCCGTTAGGTTCTCCGCGACTCCGAATTGGCATCGGCCGTCTGTCTTAGGTATAATTCCCACTTAGCGTTCTAGGCAGTTGTCTAGTCCGCCTTAGAGATAATTCAGCTAGAGTAGAGGACTATTCACAGTAATCGTCCACTGCTGCACTATGTGTCTCCTCTAGTGGGTGGGTTTTTTTTTATGAAATAAGCCGGCAAACAGGCAGACGGATCACCTGATGGTAAGCAATCTGCTTCGCCCATGAACAACCGAAACACCAGATGCGTTACAAGTGCGTTACCGGCCTTTTGGGAATTTAGAGTTTGAGGATTGTGGGGGATTCGGGGATTGGGGAGATTAGGGAAGGGGAGGGTAATAGGGCCTCCGGTAACCTCACTCACATGACGAAACTAGGCTAGGTGCAGTGACGATATCCGCAAAGTGGCTGGCAGTGGTTGGATGCATAGAGCTGAAGACCGAGCGCAGTGGCGTGCCATTGGAGAGGCCTATGTCATATTCGGTACTAACTGTACTGTTTTACCTGTTTCAGTGAGTTGACGACATCAAAAATAGGTAAATTAGAAAGGTGCCGACTCCCAGGCACGCGCGGTTTTCTTTACCCGCGATTTGACGAATAAGTCGCTTAATCAGGTCTTCTGTCCACCTTGTGGTGTCTCTTAAATAGTTTTAATGTTAACCCCTTCGCCGGGTATACTACACCCACAGAAAGAGGAGCGGTGGTAAAACAAACTATTCGATTCTGACGTCACCACGAGTCGTCATGTTAAAGTTTTAGTTTAAAATTTAATCTTAAGTTTAAATATTTAATAGTTATGCCTGTTAAATTTTACGCAGTTAGAGACGCAGAGTTCATTGAACTGTAGGTCGATGATCTTCAAAAACTCAGCTTATATTGTTACGTTAAATTGAAACCCACGTAAAATAGAGCCTTTGTTTATTAGATACTAGCTTTTACCCGCGGCTTCGCTCGCGTCACAAAAGTATAAAGAGTAGCCTATGTGACATATACCTATACACACAGAACATATAGCCTTCTTTATAAGTTCTGTGCCTATACACACAGCGCCATCTATACCAATACTTTTGTTTTTCCTCGGGAATATCAAATATTTCCGGGTTAAAAAGTACCCTATTATTTATTCCGGACTTCTAACTTTACGTCTGCAAAAATTCAAAGCAATCGGTTTAGTAGTTACGGCGTGAAAGCGGAACAAACAAACAAACTCACTTTCCAATTTATAATATTACTAGCGACCCGCCCCGGCTTCGCACGGGTGCAATATGCATGTATTATACATATAAA